GTCCTTTTGGTCCAGGCTCACCTGAAAAACAGATAGTTGACAAATAGTAGTTATAATCAAACGTACTATGATTTCACAAAATATACCTGATCTTCCATCTCTTCCTGGAACTCCCGGTGGTCCAGGTACACCTTGCGGTCCAGGTTCTCCAGCTGGCCCGGGCTCTCCTGGTATAAATGGTTCAGACGCTGCATCAAGTCCAGGAAGACCAGGCGATCCAGGTGCTCCTGGACTACCATTAACTCCTGGCGGTCCTTTTGGTCCTGGAGGTCCAGGTGGAGCCTCAACACCAGGCACCCCAGGTACTCCGCTTGGTCCAGGATCTCCAGGAGGTCCTTGAAGCCCAGGTGGCCAGGTGGTCCCGGAGGGCATGGTTTGCACGGTGGTGGTGTTATTGGCTCACATGGTTGATAAGGCGGACGTCTCGGAGCTCCAGGAAGGCCCGGAGCACCCGGTTTTCCTGGACGGCCTGGTTTTCCCGGAATGCCAGCCACTCCAATTGGTCCAGGAAGGCAGCAGGCGTCGCAGATGTTACTTTCTACATTGCCATTTGCAGACACACCGGCATCGTGGTAACCAGCTTGTCGAGCAGTACGATTGCTTACGATGCGATAATTTTTTAGAGCGCTTACTTCACTCCAAATATCTTTCGCAGAGCCCTGAAACTCTGAAAGTGGTCTAGAAAATATCTGTCGCAAGTGAACACTTAGATAAGCACATAGAAATTATCTCATATTGTAGTGAACACTAACTTAGGCACGTACTTTGCAATAATTGATTTCAGTGTGCATGGTCATTTTGACATGGTAGACATAGTTGGAGACCATAGGAAGAGTAACACAAAACGGAAAGCACGGCTACCACGGAAAACATGACTGCCGAGTAGGCGACAAAACGATATGCTCTGACGCGTTGCTCCAAATCCATCGTAGGCAATGGATAGTTCTTCCGTCTGCTTAAATACACATAATGAGAGTGGAGCGAACAACGTGGGCGTGACGCCGGTGTTTTCGACACGTTAAACCAGCCTTGTGCTTACGCTAATGAAGCTTGATCTTGCGCTATGCTAGGGCTCCAGATAGCATTCCATGACATCAATGGTCATGAGCCAGTGTGCAATCCAAAAGGCTTCGGCTGCAGAGTGGAGGAGTGAATTTGTAATCGTATCTCTAATATGGATAGAATACAGGAATAATGAATGCACAGCATGATTGTAGGGTGAAACTCCATATGTTTTACTTGAATTCGCAATTTTTTTTGATATACTAATAATCAAAATAGGTTGAGCACAAGTAATAACAATTCACTTATGGACATGAAAACATTCGTTTCTATTTTAACAATTACCAAGATCGACTGTCTCTTAACCTCGGCATGCTTCAATACAATTCCTGATTTTCTTCTTTAAGCCAAACATGAGGTGTTATATTGAACCTAGCTCTGTTTTAAATGTTTTCATAAATAGCCATAATTTCGTACAGAAATGCTAGTTCTACAATGAAAACTCGGAAGACCTCAAATCATCTATCAAGGAATGAGAGCTCGCGTATTTTTTGCTCGATTTCCATGAAATGTCGTAGCATTTGTGCTTATGCAGTTGATGAAGACTAATGCTAGAACTGTTTTGGATATGTTTTGATCGGCAGATTATTAAAACTTGCAATATTTGTAGAGTTAAGAAAATTTCTGTCATAGTACCACATACTGGTACTCAAAGCCCTAGCATTCAACGTAGTTATTAAAGGTCTTATTAATTATAGACATGATACCTAAAAAGATTACCTACTAAACTTGCCTTGTGTTTTTATAATAGGGACTTTGTCAATCCACTTCAGAAGCCCAGATAAGATAACAACCAATGCCAAATATCACCTCGATCCACTTAGCAAACTAGTCGTAAGGCGACAAATCTCACACCATCCACGACGGCCAGCGACTGCTTGTGATGATGAAATGAAAAAGCGCTAGCGAGCTATCTCGCAACTGCAAGGAATTTTATCGAATAATAGCTCATTTACAAAAAAAAAGACTTTCCAAGTTTTAAAGTAGTAGACACGGTCTTCATGATAAGCAGCTCTGCTTGCTGGTGATTTCACGTAATTTAAGGTTTTAATTGCAACCTCGGTGTGATCTGTGAAAGAACAATGATAAACTGTTGATTTCCATAAAGCTGATTCATATGAACTACCAAAGAGAGCATTTTATTGGCAATTTGATGAATTTTCAGTCAGAACAACTCATTCCTAGTGATCGACTAAATTGGATGACGATGTGGTGTGGTGAAAGCAATCATTACTAATCTCGTCAGATTCATTAACTTTCGCAGTAATGTTCCTTTCTCCATTTTGTTTCTCTCCATAGCTTAGTCATTTCAAATTCCTGAATTCGTCTGCTATCCTGACAAAGCGTTATAATCGAGAATATTTCGCTCTTATATTTAGTATGTTATCCTTGGCGCCTATGTAAAAGTTAGACTTATGAGAGAAAGAGATCTGTTCAACGATCAAAGAAAAACCAACTTTTCCGCTTCACTGAAGTTTGTGTGACATTGGGAAATCGTGTTGTCATACGATGACAGAGAATCTTCAGTCCAGTTCCTTGTAATTCGTCAACTTTCAATCATCGAAAATTGCCGACTAAAAACTGTCATTCAATTTTCTCATGAAGCACTTTTTTGTTGATAAATACGGAATTCTTACTTAATACAAAGCCGTGTCGATTCTCTTCTGCTCGCGAGCCGATCACGGAGTCATATCATATAAATTTGTATGTAAGTTTATACCTTTCACTTTAACTACCATGGTAAAAGCAATAGGAAACGTTCTCAATTTTTGATTCATACAGGTGTATTGGAGGCCCTTAGAAGTTTGAAAACGAACTTAATAAAAAATGGATGAAAAACCACTGTTGTGTCCATTAGTTTAAATGATTATTTGAAGCCGTTGCAGAGATGATTGAAGCTTCCTCACGTGGTTGGTCCCGCGCTCGAAATCCAAACAACAATTGCAGGCGCACTACGGTCTGCCCTTAACCACTGAGCTAAACGATTATCTAACATATCCTTTCATTATTATTCGAGCCAACTTGTCATGTGGTCTGGGAAGGGTTCTTGTACAGCGCGATACCCGTGTTTCGTCCTTACAGACTCGTCAGTCGGGCAGAACCCCTCGTCTTTCGATATTTTTATAGTCAGTTCTCTCGGAAGCTCTGCTCCCTTACAGAGAGTTATCGAGAAAGTGATCTGAGACCAGTCTGGTGCCAGTATACCGACTCCAGAGGGGTGTTGGTGAGCCATCAACACGAGATCGATCCATTGACCTTATGTGCTGTGAGAAGCACCTCTAACCACTGCGCCTTACTCCTCTATTACAAGTTATCTGAGACAGTATATAAGACTGCAATTTTATTGCGGGAGGTTCATAACAGTCCATGTGATAGCTGCGCGCAACGTTTTTACTTCGAAAAATTCAATGGAGGACTTATGAGAAGCGATGAGTGTATAAAATGTTAATTTTTGTGCCTTATGTGATTAAAATCTACGTTTGGGCTTTTATCAATGAAGCAGTGGAAGTTTTTTGACCGACTGGGTTGGGGACGACTTGGTCTTTCCAGATTGGAAGAAGACAAAACCGTTAGTTCTAAATAAATAATATTATGACAACCTCGTATTTGGCTCATTATTAGAACCAACAAAATCGAATTTTTTTCTTTTAGAAATTATGATATAGAAGCTGTTAGGATTTGATGGTATAGAAGTATCGTAAATTTCGTGTTTTTTCGTCCATTATTGTGAATTTTTACCCTTATGAATTCCATTGGAACACAACACATTCCTATGACTTTTTGCCTTGTACATGCAAAACTTGAGATAATTTTATCTCATGATAAAGTTCTAATAGCTGGTAAGAATTGTTAGATAATCATATTATACCTTTATTTCGAGTGCTTTATTAATAACTTGTTTGGGAGGTTAAGCAGCATTGACTCGGTTCAGCGGAGGCCGTAGCGTAGTAGAGGCCAGAAATGCATTTACTCACCTCATACGAAATTAAAAATTGGAGACGAATGCATGGCGCATTCTTCAGGGATTCATCAACTCCGAGAGCTTTATCATGATATCACGTGTGAATACGATGCATTCTCCCTGTGGTTCATAGTTGAATAAATGATGTTCATCCACACTCTTACAAAATCTTACGAGCTGATTATCTGTGTTTCTGTGCAAGGACGGTGACTTCTATTTAAAATCTGCGCCGTTATACGTCTATGTCCCATGTATGCTTAAAGTGGTACTGATCTAGAGTTATCCTTGTCGTTTAAGTGATATGCGTACACAATAAAAGCGCACCAGTATCGCTGATGTATATTTCGTCGCACGCTTCACAGATTTTTTAAGGGGGAGGGGGATAGTACTGCAGCTAGTGATGTGATGTATCAGTAAGCAAAGGTGGCAAACAAAGCTCTGATTCGATCCCTTTTCAATCCTCTCTTACAATCAATCAACGAACACATTCACCTGTCAAATTCCAAGATTACTAAGTGAATCGTCTTGATCACCATTCTCCATCATTCATGAAGAAGTCGAAGTCTTCAGATAGTACCCGAAAAAACACGTAGGATATTCGAAGACCTTTGTACAGGATGTACGTGAGAAAACGAATGGAATGCAAGAAGCTCTGAGATATGTGAAGTAAATAGCGATAATGGCTCGTGTGCAAAAACATAGGATTTCTAGGCGCTTGCCATATTAGTTTATCCTGCTTGAGTAATACGCAGGGCTTATGACCTGATACGAGTTTCAAACCTCTGACTACAAGCATACACATAAAACCTTGTGGTTACGCCATGCATGTCTCGACTTTCGTGAAGCAATCGTTACGAAGTGATGAAGCTTGTCTGTGGCTCAAAGGAATTTGTAAAATATTTCCCATTTTACCGCTTTATAGTGATGGCATGATGATACAAATATACCCAACGATGCTGATAATGTGCAAAAGATTTGCGTCAGACGGGATTCGAACTCGCATTCCACTCAATCCAGATGTGCGTTCTCTAACCCGTTGCACCACCGACGCCAGCTTTACCACCACTTTACCGCTATTATGGAGAGTTCCAAATAACAGTTTATGTCACTCCTCGAGTCAAAATCGCTCTGATTTGCATACAGTATAGAATGTATGACAGCCTACGATTCTCACTAAACTTGTTTAAGCAATTCTTGCTAACCAAAGCTTTTTATTTAGACTTCTGATAACCAATCGATAGATGAAATCTCAGTATTCCAATAACGTTTTTGTTTTTTGAAATGGACTTTTTGGGCGCTGTAACAGCTAAAAGATGAGTGAGGTTTACAAAACTGCATTATTTTTGTTATCCGCGCCTCAATTTGATCCTAGTTCGAAAAACGCGCTTGCCTTGTTTTAGGTGTCAACAACTATCTAATAATCCGAATTACTATGGATTCAATGACACATTTTGTTCAGCATGGCTGTATTATTGTGCTGGCATTTCCTTTAGACTTTTGGCAGCCTTTCGATAGCTTAAATTTCGTCGATTGCTCCCTTACAGAGATTTATCGAAGACGAACGTTTTACATTTTATGTCTAGCGAAATTTTCACCTAAGACAGAGTATTTTCGCACTCGATTGCTCGGTGGCTGGTATTTTCATCATATTATACCTTTATTTCGAGTGCTCTATTAAGACCACACTCAAATTTCAATATGTCCTTTCATTCGCATAATAATGAAAGCTCTAGAGAACTGACTATAAAAATATCGAAAGACGACGGGTTCTGCCCGACTGACGAGTGTGTAAGGATGAAACACGTGTATCGGGCTGTAGAAGAGCCCCTACCAGACCACACGACAAGTTGGCTCAAATATTAATGAAAGGATTTATTGAAATTTGAGCGTGGTCTTAATAAAGCACTCGAAATAAAGGTATAATATGATGAAAATACCAGCCAGCGAGCAATCGAGTGCGAAAATACTCTGTCTTAGGTGAAAATTTCGCTTGACATAAAGTGTAAAACGTTGGTCTTCGATAACTCTCTGTAAGGGAGCAGAGCTCCCGAGAGAAGTGACTATAAAAATATCGAAAAACGACGGGTTCTGCCTGACTGACGAGTCTGTAAGGACGAAACACTTGTATCGGGCTGTACAAGAGCCTTTCATCATTATTTGAAAGCTTTTTATTTAGACTTCTGATAACCAATCGATAGGTGAAATCCAAGTATTCCAATGACGTGCTTGATTTTTGAAATGGACTTTTTTGGACGCTGTAACAGCTAAAAGATGATTGAGGTTTACAAAACTGCATTATTTTTGTTATCCGCGCCTCAATTCGATCCTTTCTCGAAAAACGCGCCTTATGCCTTGTTTTAAGTGTCAACAACTATCTAACAATCCGAATTACTGTGAATTCAATGACACACTTTGTTTTCAGTATGGCTGTGTTATTGTGCTGGCACTAATAGAATTATGTATCTCATCTAAACATTTCTCACTGAACAAGTGTTTTCCTTTAGACTTTTGGCAGCCCTTCGATAGCTAAAATTTCGTCGATTCCGATGGTGTTCTCGATTTCTGGAAAACTTCTCATTGCGTTGTGGCGGCCAAAAGAATGTAAAGTTCCACGCAGTGCAACATCGATTTCAAACTACTACGCTTTAACCTGTATGTGAATAAGATTTCGCAACAAGCGACGCCAGTCCGTTGTACATCGGTTGCCTTTCAATTGTCTTCTGCTGGTTTCCATAGAATTCCTTCAACTGTGAGCCTTTATGCATTACCATGTACTGAAAAAGACGCAGTCATGTTCCTACAAAAACATAAACATAATGGAGAATTACGTGAATCGTGAGCTTGAGTGATAAACGCAGATTTTGATCACCCATGGCGATGTTAGATCAAATTTTTTCAAAAAGTGTATTTAAAATGAAATTTCACGGTGGCTCGATCTTTGCACAACTTCGTACTAACGTTGAGTTACAGTACCACGTTAGTACTGAGTTGTCCCAAAATTTTTTCTCGCCACTGTTCTGTTCAGTTTCTTTTTTTCTATTCAATTTGGATTGATATCAGAAAGCTGTGATTAGTTTGAGAATATTCTAGTAGCTATAGCCACGAGTTATAAAGCTATAAAAGCTATATTTCATGAAGGCATAGCGGAGCTTTAACCAGTGATGTCTCGACGACCAACCTCATGGATTGACTGACCACCACGGCGTTGCATGCACGCGTGATCATTCACGAATCTTCTGTTGCAGTTGCACAGACAGGACTTTCTTAAGTCGTTCATAAATTATCACTAGAGATGAGTTCCCGATCTGCTACGGAAATAACACACACTACGCCAGCATATTGCCTCGTGACAGTGACCGATCAGCTCAACCAAACCCTAAGTTCCATGCTCGGAAGGTCATGCTCTCACTTTTCTGAGATTGCCTAAGCCTGCTGTTTTGTAGATCTGCTCGATAGCAAGCAGACAATGAATGCCGGCGTCTACGGAAAACATCCGAGGAAGTTGGCAGCAGCAGTGCAAGAAAACCTTCAAAACGAACGACTCTTTCTGTTTTTCAAGACAGCGCTCGTTACACTGCAAAGTTGGCAAGCCACATTCTGGAGATACTGGGCTAAATGACGGTACCACATCCACCGTATTGACCTGATATTGCTCTATCAGATTATCACCTCTTCCACGCGCTTGAGGAGCATCTACTGGAGAAAAAATTTTAAGGACTCCAAGAAACCTAAAAGTGACCTGACCGACTTCTTTGTTCGTCAACCTCATTCTTTCTGGGAAGAAGACATCCAATCTTTGCTTTGCATATGGATCCATATTATTGACCATTATGGTGATTATACTGTTTATCATTTGATTTCTAAATTTTTCGACAACTTATTCAACAAAAAGTTCGAAATACGAAAAATTTTGGGATAACATAGTACTTGTTTTTGGATACCTATGTACATTAAACCCAATGACTAACGGTTGCGAAAGATGCAGTAACTATTATCTGTGCATGTAGATACGGTTAATCGGTCATAGTATACGAGAAGATCAAGCCTTGCCTATATGTGATGTTTGAATCAGAATTTAATTACAAAATTTTGAAGTTCGCACTGCGGCGACAGCAGGAGTTCATTGCGGCAGGTCAGTAAAAAATTTGGAGCATTTTCATAAATTTAATTAACCGGTGCTCTTAGCAAATTTATTGGCGCAAGCCTACGCTTAATAATCCAATTTTGCAATCAACTCTAACGCTTGCAGTTTAATAACAAAAACCTGCGCTGATGTGCATTAACCAGTTTAACGCTTAGAAATCTACGTGAGTGGATATCCACTAATAACTCATAATAGTTTGTGGAAAAAGTTTTGAGAAATGCTTGTAAAACATTTATTCATGCACCCCTTATACCCGAACAAACACAGAACTAGACTCAAAGTACTTACCTACAACTTCAAGCACTTTCTGCCACTTCTCCTCAAAAGGTCGATTACATGAGCAATAAATATCGATTTCTTACTGTTTAAGAAATGAATCACCGTGATGTCAAAGAGGGATTTTCTTCAATCGCTACAAGCACAACTTCCCGATCAACTTCTTTTGAACGACCTGAACGCGGCTGATCCATCAAACTTTCTTCACCTTCGCCAAACTTTTTGGACCACTTGTACACCGTACTTTTGCCAACTGCGTCTTCTCCCCAAGCCAGATTGATGCTTTCACTTGCCACCGTTGTATTTGAACCCAGCAGCCATTCTTGCATCATCAATAACCTAAATTGCTCGCTTGTGAACTGCATCTTGGAATAGGTAGATAAATTATATATCAATCAACGCGGGAGAAGACGGGCTTTCAATTGAGCCCTAAAACACAAAAGAAATGGCGGACACCCAAAAAGTTTCAAAAATTTTCTCAGAATTTTTTCCCCAACCTATTTGCTGAGTGCAAATGAGGAGACATGGGCTGATATCATGTCAGCGTATGCGGAAAGATACTATGCGTTGGTAATTGCCGCATCCAAACAGATTTAGGACGAGCCCCTTGATTATTAGGAGCCGAAGTCCTATCAACCGAAAGGGATAGGTAAAAGCTTCTCGCACTATTGTCATCCAATATATTGCAAAATCACTTTGCTTGAGCATTTTGATATGTGCATTGACACCGTCATCTTGGTGGCATAAGCTTTGCTATTCCGCGTTCAAACCCGTTTATATTCACGTTGATCTCTTGCTATATCAAACCTTTCGTTCGTAACCTTGCAGAACTGATCATTACGTCGCACGCTTTGATCGGCCTCAAATTGACAATCGTTCGCAATACTTTTTGTTCGCTGCTTCCTCCATAAATAAAAATGAAGCTGTCAAAAATATGATTCATTTATACCTAATGCAATAGTGGTTGCCGTTTCAACGGAGTCACCTTTTTCAGAGCCTGCAGAGGTTGAATGGATAAACAGTCCACTCAGATAAACACTCTCATACCTTCAACATCAAAAAAGAGTGGATTCACAAAATCGCGTTCACCAAGTAAGCAGCTTTAAGGCTTATCGTTCTTTTGAATTTTTCCAATTATTGACTCTAGAGAGGAAGATAGGGGGCACACTGTGGCCGAGCGGCTGTGATGCTCATCGCTGTGGGCGTGTGGCCGATGCTGCCTCCCACTTTCTCCCAACATTCTCCGGCAGTCAGTAACGAACTTCTATAGAACTCCACACCTAGGCTATCTTGAGATTGAAAGAAGACGTGTTCAACCAGTATTCTGGAACGTTCAAGAAGAAAGCAAAAAAAGAATTCAATGCTAGAAGTGTTGATATTCGCACAGTGATAAGAAAACGTTCTGAAGATGGATAAAATATAGTGCTAATAATTTATAAAAGCAAGAAGATAAGGTAGTGCAGTGGTTAGTGATGTAATGTATCAGAGTGTCAGAAAGCAAAATGAAAGGCGATGTTCTGGTCTGATCACTTCAGCACCACTCTCTTGCAATCAATCAGCTGAGCGCCTAGGAGCACCTGTGCTCTACCACTTCCAACATTGGAAGAATAGCTAAGTCTAATTTACGTCAT